GGCTGCCCTTTTTTTTTTTTTCGGTTTCCTTCACTGGAAGGCAGACAATGGTAAATGTTCAGTAAGGACTCAACTGAGGTGCCATAGGAGAGGCCCAAGGGACTGTAGGGAGAAGGGCATCACAGAAGTGACCTTTGAGAGCCTGGTCTCACCCTCCTGGGGCTCTCAAAACATTTACCACATTCTGATGATAATTATCTATTTGCTGACACCCCCAACTAATGTCTCCAGGCTCCACTAGTGCAAAGGCGGTCCCAACACAACCCCCGCCCATGCTGTCCCCACTTCACCTTTTCTTGGAGCGGTCTTTCCACACTCGTCCGGATTTGGGCTTCCCCTTGGGGATTACAGGAAGCTCCTCCTCCTCCTTCTTCAATTTCTTGGACGCTGGGGCCTGGGCTTTAGAATCTTTTCGCTTTTCTGCCCCGAGGCCTCCTGTCACTGTCTCCCCGGTCAGAGGTAGCTTGCTCGGTTCTTGCTGACCCCGCGGGAAGACGGGGCCCCGGGGTGTCAGCTCTTGTGGGGGCTTCGAGGGTTCCGGACCTGGCGCTTGCTGACCAGGATAAGGTTCTGAAGATTCGTGGCCCGAGTGCCGCTGAAGTTGTGGGGATCCCGGGAACAGTTCCTTCTTATTCTGGGCCGACTCGGAGCTCAGCTGTCCTTGGCCCTGAGGGAACTTTGGTGACTCCTCACTTGGCTTTGGGCCGACTCGGAGCTCAGCTGTCCTTGGCCCTGCGGGAACTTTGGTGACTCCTCATGTGGCTTTGGCTCACGCTGCGGGGATTCCGGATTCGACTCCGGCAGTCTTTGCGGCGACGCGTGGCCTGGATCTGGCCGATGCTGGGGAGACCCAGGGCCAGGCTCTGGCTCCCTTGGCGGGAACTTCAAGTCTGTCTCCTGCCGCAAGACGGGTGATCCCGGACTTGGCTCACGCAGCTGCACCCTCCGAGGAGACCCGGGTTCCCTTGTTTGTTCTGGGTTCGAATCTAACGCTACAAGGGCTCGTCTCACCCGCGAAACTGCGGTGTAGTTCTCGGAAGACTCAGGCTCCAGGCCTCCCAGCCTGCGGCTGCGCCTGAGCGGTGTATCCATGGCACAGACTCAAAGTACCCGAATCCGACTCCACGTGCAGCGTCCGTCGCCCCTTGGGAAACCGGCGCCTTCCTATGACGTCAGGACCGGCCACGTCTGTGAGGGGCAGCATTGCTAGGGAGGCCATGTTGGTAAAGGGCGGAGGGCGGGGTCTGCCGGCTCCGGCGGAGGCGGGGCCAGTGGGCGCATGCGCACTGAGTTACTAGTGATTGACAAGCGACTTATTCCCATAACTCACGTTCTTGTAAAGGGTTTCTTGGAGTAAGGAGGGCGTACAGGTGGAGAAGGAAAGGGGCAGGGGATCCGTTTTCGGGAGTGAAGAGGAAAAGGTTTGGGGAACCCTTTGGCTAGGCTGGATAAAAACTGCTGCTAACTCACTCCTGTGCATTTAGGCAGAGGTCTTTGCGTCTTCCCCTCTTTGGGTCTCAGTTTTCTCTTTTGGTGATTTTGCACTAGTTTACACGTCTGAAATGATCCTGTCGGAGTACCTCTAACTGCCTGATTGAATGCTACCTTGGGGATCCCGGGGTGGGGAATATTGCAAGTCTTGACTTCTGTGTTACGTGTTCACATCCTTGCCGCCTCTTCTCCCATCCTGTGCCCTCCTACAGCCTGTGACTCTCCCTCGTCAGCATTTGCAGCATTCATAGGACTGAGGTCGAGGTACCGGTGAGAGGCGCCAACTTTGCCCTGTGGCACACCTGCACCCTCTGCCGCACTGCACACTCCCAGGACCTTTCTTTCCCAGTTCTAGAGACTTGATCGCTGATCTTCCCTCCTGCCTGGAAAGTGGCGTTTTCCCCATGGGTCAACCTGCGTCCCCTTCCTTCCCTTTGTGTTCACCTGTGAATGTACCTTTTCAGTAAGCACTCTGGGGCTTCGCAAGTGGTCAGGTGTTGCCTTCTGGACACCCCACCCCTACCCCTACCCCCCTGCCTAAAGAATACTTTCTCAGGGCCCTGTTGCGTAAGACCCAGGCGGGTGGTTTGAGTCACTCACAGCAAGCTTCTTTCTCAGGAAGAACATCTTGGAAGAGATCCAGCGGCATCCAAGCTCTTCTGCAGCAGAACGGCACTCAAGGATCCTAAGGCCCTGTCTGGCGCATCCAATCGGCCCCTTTTAGAAACCATTGCTTTGCAGCTGCGGAGTTGCTAGAGAGCCTGGGAAGTCGCCCAAAGATCCTCAGGGGTCAGAGGAGGCAGGCCAGGGTAGACAGTCATGGCTCTCAGCCCTAGCACCGCCACCCCTTGCCGAATCACTCTGCTGACTCAGGAGCAGGCGTGAGCATCAGTGGGAGGCCAGGGTGTCCTGACTGCTGACCAAGGAGGAGGCAGGCAAGAAGACCCAGCCAAAGGTGACTAGGGAACAGAAAAGTGTCACCCCACACAGCGTCCACAGGGTATCCTGATGAGCTCAGGCCGAGTCCACTCTGAAGGGAAGGCAATGGCACGGCGTCTCCCTGTCCCTCTGCATGGTCAGAAACAGCTGTGCCCTGTGCCGTTATTACATATCATCCCTGGCCCCTCTCGGTGGAGCCATTGGTGGGCTCGGTGCACTTCGTGTTCCTGAGCCAAGGAGAGGCCTGCAGGAAGGCTTTGCCTGCCTGGGTGCCCCTTGTTGCAGTGCAGCTCCCAAGGCTGAAGCTGCTCGAATACCTTCTCGTCCAGCTCTTCCACCCTTAGCTCTCAGGGGAGTGGCCTTTACACATTTCTTTTTCTTTTAAAAAATAGCCATAGTAATAATTTAATGCAATCCACCATTGGAAATGTATTTTACAATCGCAACCCAACATGCACATATTTAACTTCATGATAGAACTTATGAAAGAATTCCTATCCTTACCACATACAACTCATTCTGATACACGTTTCTTAAATCCCCATCCTACTTAGAGACCTGAATGGTCCTATACTCGGAACTGTGCCCGGCATGCCTTACCAGGGTGACTGGAGGAGACTGCCGCTGCCCTGCTCCGGCCCCTTTCCTCACTCTGCTTCCCGAGCTCCTGACCCCAGCTGCAGGGATCATCAAATACAGATGGGGCTGGCGTGAGTTTTAAGCCACCGGGTCCAGGACACGAACTGTGGTCGACTACGTGGGAGTCCAGCGACATAGCCATTACGCTAACTGCTGGTTACCTGATACATGTTTCTTAAATCCCCATCCTACTTAGAGACC